CAGCCCGCGGGCTCAGGCAGCCCTGTCACCTCGCCTCCCGAGTGGGGGACGGCAGGCGCGAGCCACCGCGCCCGGCGTGAAGCTGCGTTTATGAAAGGCAGGACGCATCATGTTTTGTGCAGTGGCATGGTGCCTTCATAGTGCATTTTTAACTTGAGGGGAGCAGATTGAGCTATGAAGAAAATTCTGTTAGCGCTTTTCGGCAGTTATCTGTGATCGTTTTCGTTAAACTACTTTGAGCCGAAACTAGGTTTGTGTGGCTCACAGCATTTGGTTTTGCAAATGGATGTATAGTAAATGTATATGAATTATTTGCGAAGTTATTTTGTTTCTCACAAGGAATGATTCCTGATTTTCCTTGCCACTATCATATATGTTGCAACTCAGGTGCCCATCAATTAAACGCGCAAATTATATATATATATATATATATATTTTTTTTTTTTTTTTTTTTTTTTTTTTTTTGAGTTGAAGTCTCAGTGGCACGCTCACAGCCACTCCAGCATCGACCTGTTGGGCTTTGGGGATCCTTCCACCTCAGCCTCCCAGGTAGCCAGAACTACAGGCGCGCTGCCATGCGCCCAACTAATTTTTTGATGTATTGTAGAGACGAGGTCTCGCCAAGTTGCCTGGGCTGATCTAGGACCCGCGGGCTCAGGCAGTCCACTTGCCTCAGCCTCCCAAAGTGCCGAGATTACGAGCTTGAGCCACCACGACCGGCCACATATGCTGTTTTTAAGAGTTTGTTAGCTATTATATTTAGTTCAAACGTGGAAGAAGACAGAGTTGGTGATGAGTTAGATTATACCTGTTCTGTTTCCCAAGAAGTGGAATGCATTTGCCATACATTATTTTTATTAATATTCTCTGTATCTTGTTGTAGATAAATGAGCAAGATAGAGTGTTTCAGTTTACACATACTAGGGCCTCCGTTTGATTGATGACACGTTGGCCCTAAAGCTGTTAAAGGGTTTTTCTGTGTGTCCCTCATGCCACAGGCACAGCGCTGGTGATTGTGCAGTGCCATGTCCCACATTCTGGTAGCAACTTTTAAGGACCTCTAGGGTCAGGGCGGTAACACTATACAACGAAGACATACTCAGGACCATGCCAGTGAGGCGCTTACCTCTGTTTCTCTGGATGGTGCTTTCCTCTGGTATTACCTGCGGAGTCAAGACTTGGGTGAGGGTGGCAAAGCTCGTTTGTGTTTAGCTTTCCTCCCTTTCTCCTCCTCGGTGGTGCTCTGCCTCTTCCCAAGAGCATACTCTTTTCAGAACAGTGCAGGGGGATCTCTGGGTAAGTCACAGGTTCATAGGGTTTTCATTTTATCCATCTTACACTTGTAGAGTTTTTCAGCATCTGTACTCTTAGAGCCACACTCCTTTCTTTCCTGCTTGCTTCCATCCAGTAATGAATGAAGCCTGGGTGTGTTTATATTGTTTTGAGGACCTCCCGTATTTCAGGCATTGTGCTAGGCATGGTGACCATGGCGGGCAAAACTCTCTGCTCTTGTGGAGCTTCCATTCAGTCCCCAAAGCCAGCCTACGTGTAGATCTGTCTGGCTGGTTGGCTTGCTTTGGTTCTGACTTCAGGCCACTCCCTTGGTTTCAGGTTGAAATTGTTTTTCTAGCCGAGCTCGGTGGCTCAGCCTGTAATCTCGCACCTTTGGGAGGCTGAGGTGAGAGGATTGCCTGAGCCCGCAGGTTCGAGACCCACCTGGGCGACTTGACGAGAACTCATCTCAACAATAAAATTAAAAAATGAGCCGGGTGTGGTAGCGCGCGCCTGTAGTTCCAGCTACTTGGAAGACTGAGGCGGGAGGATCGTCGGAGCCCAGCAGGTCGAGGCTGTGGTGGCCGGGAGCGGCCACTGCACTCCAGTCTGGGTGATAGAGTGAGACTCCAACTCAAAAAAAAAAAAGAAAGAAAGAAATTGTTTCTCGCTCAGTCACTTTTGTCCCAAGGACTTGGGCCAGAGAAGATTCTTGGGCTTCCTTTGGTTCTCACAGGAAAGCACTTTGTTCAGTTTGACTTCTTGTAAAGCCAGAGAACCATGGATATAGCATGGTGTGGTAGAAAAAGTAGGCAGGTGTGGGCTCTAGGCACTGCTGTTTCTCAGTTGAGCAAGGAACTTGGTCTCTCTGAGCTTTCCCTTTGCTTATTTTTACAGTGGGGATGATGATGTTTTATCCATGCACGCACCATATTTCTGGAATTTTTATCATGGCCAGGTGCCGCGCTGTTTGCTTTGCTGAGCAAAGTAGACATGCTTGCTAATCTCAAGGAACTTCATTCCCTTGGGATATTGTATGCAAGAATTAGATGGCCCGTGTGTAAAGCACGGAACACCATGCCTAACCCAGAGTTATTGCTCAGGGTCTTTTGTCATACCTCAGTTACCTCCCCACTCTGCATGCTGTCTGCCTGGGTCACTCTGTGCTGGGGTGTCACTCTGTGCTGGGGTGTGTGATTTGTCATCAGGAACTACCACTTTCTGGAGATGACACTTCTAGGCCCCTGCAGGACAAGTTGAAACACAGCCGGTGACATAATTCTGCTTGAACAGTTCATATGCTCTGTCTCCAATTTAGAAGCTCTGACTTTTGGGGAGGATTTTTTTCCTCCTAGCCACAGAGGATACATTTCCAAGGTCTATTTTTGAGGCCGTGTAATAAAGATGATGTACCATTCTGTACTTTAGAAGATCTCTTTTTCTTATGATAAAATGTTTTACTGCGACAGTCAATTCTAGAATAGTACTTGGCATGTTACAAAGTGATTTTCATGTTGCCATTTCATTCTCACAGCGACCTTGTGCAGCAGATATTGTTACTCCTACTTTATAAACGGAAGACTAAAGGCCAGGGAAGTTAGGTAACAAGTTTATGGTTAAATTGCCAGTAAGTTGCAAACTCAGAAATTGATCTAGCTTCCCAACTCCAGACTGGAGTGCAGTGGACACTCCCGCCAGCGCAGCCTCGACCTGCCTCGACCTTCCGGCGATCCTTCCGTGTAGCCGGAATTACAGGCACGCGCTACCATGCCCGGCTGATTTTTTGATTTATTGTAGAGATGAGGTCTCGCTGCCCAGGTGGGTCTCGAACCCGTGGGCTCAGGCACTCCACTCACCTCAGCCTCCCAAAGGCGTGGGATTGCAGGCTGAGCCACCGAGCCCGGCTAGGTTTTCTCTTTTTATAAACCGTGTTTGTTCTATCATGCAGAGCAAGTTTTGGGGGCTGCAGTCCATGGGACTGTGGGAAGGCTGGCTATGGGTAGTCCTGAGAGACTTCTTGAGTGGTTTGGAGTTGCATGTAAAAGTTCAGGTCCTTGCTTGCTCCTGTTTGGCAAGGACAGTAACTTTACTAGGTTCCAGAAGGAGCCTACATCTCCCTCCCTACCCTAGCCAGGCATCACTGCTAGCAAGTTTCCTAAAATAATAAAATAAAAATAAAAGGTTTAGTTTAGCTCTGTTTTCAGTAGGTTTTTTTGTGTGTGTGTATTCTTTTGTTTCTGCAGTCTCCCACCTCAGTCTCCTGAGTAGCAGGGACTATAGGTGCATACCACCATGTCTGTCTGATTTTAAAAAAAATATTTCTTTGGCTGAGATGGGGTCTTGCTGTGTTGCTCAGGCTGGTCTCCGGCTCCTGGCCTCAAGTATCGTCCTGCACTGGCCTCCCAGAATGCTGGGATTACTGGCCTGAGCCACTGCACGGGGCCTACACATACTTCAGAGCGTCTTTATAAATAGGATGCCCATGTTAATCCTGTGTTTGTAAAGTAGCCACTTTACTCTTTTTTTTTTTGAGTTGGAGTCTCATCTGTCACCCAGGCTGGAGGGCAGTGGCACGCTCCGAACCACTGCAGCCTCGACCTGCTGGGCTCTGGCGATCCTTCTGCCTCAGCCTTCCCAGTAGCTGGAACTACAGGGGCACGCTACCACGCCCGGCTAATTATTTATTGTAGAGACGAGGTCTTGCCAAGTTGCCTGGGTGGGTCTTGAACCCGCAGGCTCAGGCAGTCCTCTCGCCTTGGCCTCCCAAAGTGCTGGGATTACAGGCTGACCCACGAGCCTGGCCAAAAGCCCCTTTTCTATTAGTTATAATTTATTTTTCTTTTGACTAGTGTTCTTCAGAGGTATTATGTGTTATGTAAAGCAGGATGCTAACACAAATGATCATGTTTTTTGTAAAAGAAGCTACTGAAAGCTACTGACTGGTCTCTCTCAATGATTTTTTTTTTTTTTTTGAGCCAGAGTCTCACTCTTGTCACCTAGGCTGGAGTGCAGTGGCATGCTCCCAGCCACTGCAGCCTCCATCTGCTGGACTCAGGCAGTCCTTCTGCCTAAGCCTTCCAAGTAGCTGGAACTACAGGCTTATGCCACCATGCCCAGCTAATTTTTTAATTTATCGTAGAGATGAGGTCTCGTCAAATTGCCCAGGCTGGTCTTGAACTCGTGGATTCATGCCGTCCTCTCACCTCGGCCTCCCAAAGTGCTGGGATTATAGGAATGAGCCCCTGCACTCAGCCAATGATAGATTTTATAACCAGTATCAAGGAACTTGGATGAGACATTCAGAAGCACAAGTGTGACTTAGTGCTTCCCACATGCTCTTTTAGTTCCCACTCAAGTGGGTGGAGCTTGGATGCTGACTTATATAGCTTGGGGGGAAGTCTGGTTAAAGTCTGCTAGGCAGACTTTGGGCTGAGAAATAAGATCAGTGAATTCGCTGGCTGGAGACCTTTTTCTGAAGTGGTCTCGATGCTGTGAGGATCCTTATGAGACTGCTGATGGAAGCAGGTGGCCTGTATTCTGTAGTCATGCTGTTGGCCAGTGACCCAGCTTCCTCATTGTGTAGATGGGGATAGTTGGCCTGGGAACCCACTGAAATCTTACATTTCCTCCTTTTACTAATTTATTTTATTTTGAGTTGGGATCTCACTCTGTTGCTCAGGCTGGAGTGCAGTGGCACTATCATGGCTTACCGCGGCTTCAAACTGCTAGGTCAAGTGATCCTTCTGCCTCAGCCTCCTGAGTAGCTGGGACTGCAGGTGTGTGCCACCACGCCCAGCTAATTTTTTAAATTTTTTTGTAGAGAGAGGTCTCGCTACATTGCCTAAGCTGGTCTGGAACTCCTGGGCTCAAGCAATTCTGCCTCGGCCTCCCACAGTGCAGGGATTATAGGTGTGAGCTGCTGTGCCTGGCGGGTTTCCGTTGGAGACCCCTTATACTGTACTAGTTTCTCAGGGCTGCCGTGACAAAGTTCCACAAGCTTAGAACAACAAAAATGTGCTGTCTCACGGCTCTGAATGCTCGAAGTCCCAAATCAAGATTTTGTAGGACCATGTTCCTTTTGAAATCTGTGGGGGAGAGTCTTGGCTTGCCTCTTGCCACTTCTGGTAGTCCCGGACATTCCTTGACTGACAGTAAAATTTTAGTGTCTGCCTCTGTCTTCACCTGGGATCTCCCTGTGTCTCTTCATGCAGTCGTCCCTCTGTGTGTACCTGTCTCAGCATCCAGGTTTCCCCCTTTTCTACCACCAACCATGTTGGGTTAGGGCCCACCCTAATGACCTTGTTTTAATTTGATGACCTCTGTAAAAGACCCCCTCACAAATAAGTGCACTGTCCTGAGATACGGGGCTGTTGGGGCTAGGGCTTCAGCGCGTCTTTTTGGGGGACACAGCTCCAACCCTTGTATCCACCATTTGTGTTTTCATCGGTCTTGCCGTTTTTACTCTCGTGCTGTATGAAGTGTGGTTGTGTGCAAGCTGATGTGGTGCCTGCTGCCTTCACACCTCAGCCTAGGGTCTGGTGGGCTCTCCAGATAGCAGGAGCATTTCTCTTCTGTAACTTGAATGCTGTTTTGTGTTTCCAAGTATGAAAGTTTAAAATATTACATTGTTGCAGAACTTTTAAAATTATTTTCTTTTCAGGAATTTTCTGTAAAATAGGACTTCTGATTGTACTCACTGGACTGTGGCTGTTCTCTTCAGCAAAGGCAGATTCAAAAGCCGTTACAACCTCTCTTACAACAAAATGGTTTTCCACCCCATTGTTGTCAGAAGCCAGGTAAGAAGACTGCCCTCACGTGTTCAAGTATAAATGTGGCTTCTGCCAGTGAAAACTGAGGGACTTTTTAGGAAGTGAGGTGACCATCAAATGCATGTGTTAAGGGCCTCTTTCAGTGTGCACTGTGTTCTGTGCTGCACCAAGGCAGTTAGGACACAGTCATCTTTTAGTAGGACCAGGGTTGTATGGATTCATAGAGGTATTTAGGAACTTCTTTAGACAGATGTCTCAACTGGTTAAATTATTATGTCTCCTAGGAAAAACACAAATGTGGTGAGAGAAGAGAGGGCTATATTTAAAGGAGATGTTTTCCTTATTTGAAGAAAATTTTGTGAGATGATCAATAAAAGGAAGAGAAGAGAACTTGGCAAGGTGGGGGAGAAGAGGACGTGCTCCCTTAGGAACTTAGGAGAAGACTCCTGGATAAGGGAGTATGGGGAAGGCTGAGGAAGTGACCAGGTTTTATTTATTCAAGAGGCTCATGTTCTGCATCTTAATATCTCCAAAACTGGGCTCATTTTTAATCCAATCAGAAAGTTATCTTACGATTAAAATAGGTAGCGTTTTTCATAAAACAGTGGTATGTCTTAAAATCAATAAAATATAATATAGTCAATGATTTCTTGGGAAACTATGTATCAAGGGTGCTGTAAAGCTAGTGTTCATAACAAATATAATATGAGATACCTCTCTCTATAGCCAGGTTTAATATTCTTATGAATGGAAACTTCTTTTTACTGTATTTCGAGTAACAGAGTTAGGGCTCTCAGATGTTCTTTCCAAAGGACACATGTAGGTAGGTTGAATAGCAGGCACTTGGTAAACCTCAGTGTTTGACAGTGCTAGAAATTTGAACTACCATGCCACTCCAGTTAACTTAGTAGTCCGCCTTTGCTATCCTCAGTTTAGAATTTTGTCTTCTAACATCTTCCCCTATCCCTAAAAAAAGTGGACGAAGAGTTTTGCCATGTTGATTGTACGCAGGAGCGGCCTGCCTCCTGAGGAAAGAGCCTCACTTGGTGTTGCTGAGAGGGCCAGCGGAAAGGCAGGGCATGTGGAAGCCAGTCTCGACTAGCTCAGGAGCCTCCAACGGAGAAACGCAGAAGAAACTTTCTTTCAGTTGGAATCTCTCTTTTGTCACCCAGGCTGAGTGCAGTGGCACGCTCACGGCCACTGCAGCCTCCGCCTGCTGGGCTCAGGCGATATTCCTGCCTCAGCCTTCCAAGCAACTGGAACTACAGGCTTGTGCCACCATGCCTGGCTAGTTTTTGTGATTTATTGTAGAGACGAGATCTCACCAACCTGCCCGGACTGGTCTCGAACCCCCGGGCTCAGGCAGTCCCCTCGCCTTGGCCTGCCAAAGTGCTGAGATTACAGGCTGAGCCTCTGCTCCTGGCCTAGACTTTCTTTCGTCACTCTTTTGTGCCTCCTTTTTCTCAGTAATGAAATGGCAAAACTAAATCCCAGACCCCTGGTATGTATTTCATAGTGATGTTATGATAACTGACAAAATGGATTGCGTTCAGGTGTCACAACTTTATTAGCTACAGAATAGTTGTAAAAGTGAAGTGACTGTTGAGAGTTCATATTGTGGAGGGTAAGGGGGATCCCCCCAAAACCAAAACAAAGGTGAAGTGACTGAAGGTCTTGAAATCCCAGACTGCCTGAGCCAGGGTTCTAACACTTAAACTTGCTGCTAATTTTATTTTGAATGACTTGGTGTAAATCTGAGTCACCGATTTATTTCACTTTCTGAATAATTTCGTACAAGTAACTGTAACAGTTGTCTTATATAGTCTGTATAACATTCTTAACTGAATTACATTTTAGTACTTTTATTTACACTAATTTCTTGGTATTCATGCATTGTCCCATAAGTTTCTTACGGCATGCACCTATGGACTTTGGAGAATGCTAAAATTTCGAGTAACATAGAGTTAGGATTCTCATGTCAGCCTTAAGTGTTCGATTTTTTTCATTTACTTTGATGACTGAAGTGGGTAGGATATAACGTTTCCTTCACCAGCTTTCCCGTTACAAACATCTCCCCCTTTTGTGATATGCTGGGTCATTTGCCATTTTGGCTCACTATTTTGAGGCCTCTTTTCCTGTAGCTATTGGCATACAATTTGCCAAAGTAATGGGGTATGTAGACACTCAGAAACGAGCTTATACTAATCCACTTAGCAGACATTTCGAAGGTAGATGAGGCCATCGTTCTTCCTTCCTGTGTCTGTAGCAGACCCTGATGATGGATTGAGGCGCTTTGTCCATGTGACTGAGGGTGGGGGCTGAATTTTTTCTACACTGAAAGGCATGTGGCTCCCACTGACCTCTTGCCTTCCTTGCATGTAGCCCTCAGGGACTAACCCTGTGTGTATTTTTAGGTTGGGCCTGATGTTTATGAAGGGTTATAGATTTATGGTTGTCCATGAAGTGATACTTATCTTTAGTTAAAGTAAAACCCTGAATTTGTTTCAGCAGCTATAGTTATGTAAGCAGAAATATTAAGTAAATAGGTATTATTAAAATAAAAACGAATAATCATTTATTGAGTACTAAATATTGTAATGACCCAAGAATGCAGCATGGTAGAGGTATAAGTCAAGGAGACTTAAATTTACATTCCAGCTTTTCCATTTACATACTCTGTCCCCTTCATTAAGTTAATAATGTTTCTGATTGCAGTTTCTTTTTTATTTTTTGAGTTGGAGTCTTACTCCGTTTCCTAGGCTGGAGTGCCATGGCACGCTCCCGGCCACCGTAGTCTCTACTTGCTGGGCTCCAGCGATCCTTCTGCCTCAGACTTCCAAGTAGCTGAACTACAGGCGCACGCTACCATGCCCAGCTAATTTTAAAAATTTTATTTTAGAGACGAGGTCTTGGCAAGGTGCCTGAACTGGTCTCCATCCCGCGGGTTTAGGCAGTCCACTCGCCTCAGCCTCCCAAAGTGCTGGGATTATAGGCTGAGCCACCAAACCTGGCCTGCAGTTTCCTTATTTGGAAAATGGCTATTTCTCAAGGTGACTGGATTTGAGGACATGGGTGAATAAACCAAGCATAGTGAGTTACATGATAGACCCTTCTTAAATATTAGTTTCTTCTCCTTTTCTAGCACTATGTAGAAGGAAGGCCAGTTCTGATCTTAGAAAATCTTAGAAATCTTAGAAAACAAGATGTGTGTTATCCTAGTGGGTATTCCATTAGATGTGTGTTATCCCAGTGGGTATTCCATTAGATTGTTTATAGTACTTTTTAAAATTAAAAACTTGCCATAGATTGTGACATTTCAAAATGTGTATCAATGGAGAGAATGGTATAATGAGCTCTCTCTGTATTCATCACCCAGGTTTAACAATTACCAGTTCAAGTCCAATAATTATCACCACCACCACCCTCTCCTCCCCTCTACTGGAATATTTTGGAGCAAATTCCAGACATCATGTAATTTCATCTATAAAATCATAGAAGTTTTTTACTTTATGGAAGAAACTAAGAGCAAACAAATACACTGTGGGGGAAAAAAGGGCAGCATTCCTGTAATAATATCTTTTATTGTTCTCTCCCCTGGATTTTTTCAGTGTATCTAGTAATTAATTTTCTTAAGACTGCTCCAAATTGAGACCTTATAAGACTTATTTATGCAGTGGGATAAAAAATTATGTTTCAAGAAGTTTTTCCATAGTTATATGAAAAGCATGTATTTGTATGTGGCCTTTACCAGGAGGGTCTTATCCTGAAATCCTTGTTTTTGCCACAACTGATGAGTGTGTCATCTTGTCCTCTTCTGCTGGCTTATCTTGTGACTGTGGCTTTAATTAATGAATTTAGCCTTAATTTCATGCCATAATCTGTCTTAGTACCTATTTTTTTAGACTGTAAGCTATTCCAAGTTTGGCGCAGTGTCTGACAGTTACTAGAAAGCCTGGAAAAGAACTACTCTCAAAGATGCACTAAGTAATTTAATGCATTATGATAATGGGTATTTTCAGAAACCTGTTATTGGGGAAGCTGCGTATTATTAGGAAGTGTTTCTTATTTTTTCCCATATTTCTGTGTCTAGCTATGGAGTAGAGTGAGATTGTACACCCCAGTGTTGACAAGTATTGGGAAAGTCTTCCTTTGGCTGGGTAAGCTGAGATCCAGATCTTTAGTTTGCTTTAAGACAGTGAAAGGTTGCCATTACAGCAGTACTATGGATCAGAGGAGAAGATAGCCAGTTGACATGAACCATTCAATTTCTACATGCATTTTCTTGTAGTGGCTTTTGGTTTTTGAATGAAGGGAAATTTAGATTGGCCATTAATTTAGGTTAGTGGCATAAAGAAAAAAAATAAAATAAATAAAGATGACAAGTTCTTAGACCTAATTTTGTTAGGTTAGTGCTTCTTTTCTTTTCCTTTTAAGTTAGGATCTTGCTCTGTTGCCCGGACTGGAGTACAGTACTTGGTCATTGCTCATTGCACCCTTGAACTCCTGGGTTAAGGTGATCCTCCTTTCTCAGCCTCCCAAGTAGCTGGGACTACAGGTGCATGCCACCATGCCTAGCTAATTTTTTGATTTTTTTTTTTGTTGTTGTTTAATGACAAGGTCTTGCTGTTTTGTCCAAACTGGCCTTGAACTCCTGGGCTCCAGTGATCCTCCCATCTCAGCCTCCCAGGGTTCTGGGATTATTGTTGTGAGCCACCTCACCCAGCCGGTGCTAATTTTAAACTAAAATTTGGTGATCTTGAACATTTGGATTTATGGGTGTTAAAAGATTACAACATGCTGCTGTTAGTCTCCCAGAAATTTTTCTAGGCCTTATGTTTTACTGTGGGAGAACCTTAGGCAAAACATATTTTTTGTTCTCTGTAAGGCCTCTCAGAAGATAAGTGAGTAGAACGAGTATAAGAGTGAATGATCAATTCCTAGTTCTACTTCCATTACTGACAGCATTTTTGCTAATGGGGTTTCCTAAGCTTTCTTTATATTGGGACTTACCTGTTGTTAAAACATTTTTATTCAGGTTTCTTAAGAAATAGCTATTAAGTGAACAAGTTAATACGCTAATAAGTTGTTAACAGCTAATAAGCTAGTAACACTTGCTTGGCTTAACAAAAAAATATTATACGTAAGGAAGTATAATATATATTATAGATTAAAAGCCAAACTGTGGACATTTGGAAGCTTCAAAATCTATTTTTATTCTCCTTAGTAATATAGTTAATATTAGAAAATTTTATTGTTTTATTTCTGACATTTCTCCTTTTCTCCCAGTGAATTTTTGGCAGAAGACAGTCAAGAGAAATTTTGGAATTTTGTAGAAGCTAGTCAAAATATTGGATCATCAAATCATCACGGTAAAATTGAAGAAAATGCTTTTTTGACTTTGGTGTCTGGGAAAATACTAGGAAAAAGTAGTGGGTAATGGAAAACATTTTTATCTTTAATGACTTGTGTTATGATGGTAGTCAGGAAGAGTCAACATAACACAAATAAGTATTTTTGAAGTGGGTTATAACTTTGGTTATAAGCAGTACTTTTGGTTCCATACCTTCCACCCTGCTTTTGTTCTATCATGATTTTTTATTAAATTGCTGTGTGACTTTTTTGTGGAAGAATTTCTCATTTTAAAACATTTATTACTGCAACATTTATTGCCTTGCTGAACTATGGTGTGGCCATGTGCTCTTTGAGCTATGGCTGGGCCACATTTTTGTAAGCTTTGGTTCCCTCCCCTACCTTGGGGAGATGAATCTCCCCTTTCTTTCTTTCTTTAATTTGCTTTCTAAATAAATTAAATGTTCTAATCTTAAAAAAAAAAATTAGTATTAATAACAATCTGGTTTGATTCACTCTTTTGTTATGAACTAATTATATCGATGGTTTATTCTCTTTTAAGTTCATTATCATTAAGTTACTACCATCCAGGATGCTTTCCATTTTGGCTGCCAGCCACCTACAACTTGAGTGTCAGGTGATCAAATTGATGCTGTATCCTGTGTCACTTGTTTACAGTTTTTATGATATGCTTTTCTAACTTGATAAATACCATACAGGGCATAAACATTAATAGTCAAAGTTGCTTGTATATGAGTAGTTAAAAACCTTGAATGTTAAAGTACATTGATAGGTATAAGTCTTTATTGAAGAGAAAATGTTTGAAAATGTATGACTGCTGTTGCTATTAATGGACTTGATTAACTTTTAAATTTTCATGAAAATAAGGCACATTTAAAAAGCCATCTTGATTTCTGTTTTGCGGTGTAGATACTTAAAGGTTTGAATGAACATCTGTAAGTTTTACTAGTTTAGAGTTGAATGAAGTTTACAAAAAATCATTTTTTAAGAGTTTGTAGAAAATGTATCAAAGTGGGTTTATAATACAATTTGAACTCTGACATTTAAAGTGAAATTTCTTTAGTATATGTGATATATATTCTTGGTTAAACTTGTGGGAGTATGAATTCTTAGAAGCGACCATAAAGATAAACTAAATGGTTTATTCATTTGAAATATTATTTATATTGGCAACATTTTGAGGTATTTCTGGTCTCTTCTATGTAGAAGATACTAATGCCTTTTGTATTTTACTTAGGTCTTTTATATAGAACCTTTTATTTTATTTTTAAAATGTTATTTTTTTATTTTTTTGAGTTGGAGTCTCACTCTGTTGCCTAGGCTGAAGTGCAGTGGCACTCTCATGGCCAATGCAGCCTCGAACTGCTGGGCTGAGGTGATCCTTCCACTTCAGCCTTCCAAGTGGCTGGAACTATAGGCATGCCCTACCATGCTCAGCTTATTTTTTGATTTACTGTAGAGACAAGGTCTCACCAAGTTGCCCAGGCTGGTCTTGAACCCATGGGCTCAGATAAGCCTCTCACCTTGGACTTCCAAAGTGCTGGGATTATAGGCGTGAGCCACCATGCCCGGCCATGTTGTTTTGATTTTTATTGTGGAGATGAGGTCTCGTCATGTTACCCAGACTGGTCTCAAACCCCGAGGTTCAGGAGATCTCACCTCCACTCCTAAAGTGCTGGGATTACAAGTGTGAGCCACAGCTCCAGGCATCACTCTTTCTTTCAATAAAGAAAGCTTGCTATGTACATTGTTTTGTACCTGGACTTTTCATTTATCCTGAGAATTTTTGTAATACCAGCTCATAGATTTGTTTTTTCCTCTTTCAAATAATTTGGTTCAACTTTTTGTTTGAAAGCTTTTCCCTAAACTTTACAACTTCATCCATATCTCCCCCTCCCCCACGTTTTTTTTTTGAGTCGGGCCTCACTCTGTCACCCAGGCTAGAGTGCAGTGGAATGACCATGGTTCACCATAGCCTCAAACCCTTGGGCTCAGGTGATCCCTCTGCCTCAGCCTCCCAAATAACTGGGACTACTGGCATGCTACCATGCTTGGCTAATTTTTTTTTATTTTTTTTGTGGAGACAAAGTTTTGCTATGTTGCCTAGGCTAATCTTGAACTCCTGGGCTCAAGCAATCCTTTTGCCTTGGCCTCCTGAATTGCTGGGATTACAGGCCTGAGCCACTGCATCTGGCTCAGTATTCTTCAATACCATGTGCTTCCTCATCACACTGTTCAGTTTTGTTTAGTTATTTGAGTAGATAACATGTACTAGGCATTATGGATAAAAAGATAAGTCATCCCCTTTGCCTGTGGTGCCCAAAGTCTAGTTGGGGGGTGGATAGCGAATAAATAATTTAGTAAATGAAGTGATATGTAAGAGAGGTGAGCAAACAAGTATTCTGGGATCTAGGAAGAGATGTAGCTAGTTCATTGAAGCATGGGTAGGATTTGCAGCAACTTCCATAGTAAGTGGTTTCACAGCTGAATTCTTCCTGAGGAAGTAGGTAGGAGTAAGTCATTCAGGTAAGTGGGAAAATAGTGGTCCAGGGGAGGGAACATATTTAAAGAAGTGAAGAAGAGAGAAAAGAGTCCAACTGCATTGTATACTCCAGGGAGCTGCAAGCAATTGACAATAGTTCATGACAGTACACTGGTAAAACTTTGCTATTGCATACCTTTGGAACATACAGCTTTATACTTTATGAACTGTCTTGTTTTGATCTCTCTAGTCATATGAAGTGATTTTGGTTAATGTTCTTTGACAGGTACTGATTATTCCTATTATCATGCAATATTGGAAGCTGCATTTCAGTTTCTGTCGCCTCTGCAGCAGAATTTGTTGAAATTTTGTCTGTCCCTTCGTTCCTACTCAGCAACAATCCAAGCTTTCCAGCAGGTGAGAGCAGTGCTTCTAGAGATCAACGTTTCGTGGGACTTATGGTATGATGATTGGATAGATTGCAGTTGTGCTGGAATTGAATTATAGAATTTTCACTTTTTTGCCTGAAAATTTTTAGGATCCACGATTTGTTTTTAAATAATAAGCAAAACTGGTGTTATGTCTTCAGATTGCAAATTTATAAAAGATAATCTGTACTTATTTTCATATAAGAAAGCAAAAGAATATCGGCTGGGTATGGTGGCTCAAGCCTGTAATCCCAGCACTTTGGGAGGCCAAGGTGAGGGGTTTGCTTAAACCCATGGGTTCAAGAACAGCCTTGGCAATTTGATGAGACCTCATCTCTACAATAAATCAAAAGATTAGCTGGGTGGGGTAGCACGACCTATAGTTCAGCTACTTGGAAGGCTGAGGCGGAAGGATCGCTGGAGCCCAGCAGGTTGACGCTGGGGTGGCCGTGAGTGTGCCACTTCACTCCAGCCTGGGTGATGGAGTGAGACTCCAACTCAAAAAAAAAAAAGACTACATAGACAACCAGACTTTCTTTATGCAGCACAACTGGCTAAACCAACAAATCAGAATCTGATCACAGCTTGTTGGTCTGAAAGCAGCTCACAGGAAATGTTTAGCAACACCATGGGGATGTAGTCAGGAAAATCCAGAATTCAGGAAACATTGTAGGAAAATGATCTAATTTCTTCAATGAATGAATTATAAGAGAAAAGAAAAAAGAGGGACAGAGGAACCTGAAATCAAGAGAGACTTTAAAAAAGTGTCAACCTAATGCAGTGTGGGGATCTTGTATGTATCTTTAGTTGAACAAACTCCCTTGTGTGTGAGAGAGAGAGAGAGAGAGAGAGAGATATAAACAAAAGAGACAGTCTGAGATATAATCACCAACTGGATATTTGACATAAAATAAATGTTAATTTAAAAACTATTTTTTATTATAAAGCATATAGGAAAGTACAACAAATACGAAGGGGGATCCAAAAAACCCTGGAATTTATTTATAAAAAAATTGTGTATTCTTACAGATTTAAATATCAGTTACCTTCAAAGTACTGTCTGATGCAATACATCTATCGAGATGGTTTTTTCCACTGCTCAAAATAGTTTTTGAACTTGTCCATTTAGTGAAGCCTTTTAGTGCTTCTGCCATTTTTTCTTTCACCGCTTCCCCATGTGCAATGTAATTTCCCTTTTAGGACTTTTTTCGTCCAGGGAAACAAAAGAAAGTCTCCTGGGGTGAGATTGGGTGAATAGGGCGGGGGGCATGGGGATCTTGCCATCTTTGGTCAAAAACTACTGAATACTCAGCATAGTGTGGCAGGTATGTTGTCATGGTGGAAGAACCAGGCAGCGGTTTGCTGCGTCTTGGGATATTTTCTTCTGCAGACTGTGGCACAGCCTTATCCAAACTTCCAAATGAAAACTTTGGTTTATTGTTCTATCCAAAAGAACAAATTTCAAGTGTCCTACATGGGGCCTGTCCTCTATAAGATAATTCTGGGGGTTTTTTGGGGGGTGCTCCTTATATATAGTATAATGAATTACTTTATAGTGAGCACCCTTGTGACTGCTACCCAAGTCCAGAAATGAGACTTGGCCAGGCACCCTGGAAGCCATCCATGTACTCTGTCCCTATCACAGCCACCATTCATCCACCAGGAGAAACCATTCTCTCAACCTGTGTTGGAATCGCTTGCTGTGTTTCTTTATCGTTTCTTGCCCAAGAGGTGCATCGCCATACAATAGATCTTAGTCTTTTCCAGTTTTTAAAATTTGGTAATTTGGGGGAAGTTTCTTAATTTATAGGTATTCCTTTTATTCTTTTATTTTTCTGTTGTGTAACTTGGACCATTTGCACTGTAGATTTTTTTCTTAGTCCTTGTTTTGTTGATCACATACTCATGATGGAGTTAAGTATATTCCTCTGTTCTTTGTTTTCTGCAAATTGACACCTGGATCCTGAGACTTGATGAAGATTGGGTTTCCTCCCTTTGTCAAATCTATAGGTAGTGTTCTAGTATTTCGTTAGGAGGCAACTAATATCTGATTTTCTCTTTTTTAATTACCGCGTCTGTGTTTAATCCATTAATTTGGAGTTGCAATGTGGTGACTCATTATGTCATTTCTCTCTCCCTTGTTTCTGGAACATGGATGTAAATAGGCTTATAACCTTACCTGGTACTGTTCGGTGATGCTGTTCACATAGGAAAGGCAGAACACATGCCTGATGGTTTGCTTTTATTTCTGAATGAGTTTGATTCACTAGCATTGTTTTACTTTTGACCTTTTAGGGTTTTTTCCCAACCTTTTTTTACTGTACACACAACAGAAAGTCTACTGTTTTAATCATTTTTAAACATACAGTTTACTGGTATTAAGTACATTCAAATTGTTGTGTAACCATCACTGCTCTCTGTCTTCAGGCTGTTTTTTCATCTTGCGTAACTGAAAATAATAACTGCCAATTTTCCCTCCCCCTTCCCTTCAGGAACCACTATTCTACTTTTTTTTTTGAGTCAAAGTATCATTCTGTCACCCAGGCTGGAGTGCAGTGGCACACTCATGGCTCTATCTGCTGGGCTCCGACCATCCTTCTGCCTCAGCCTCCTAAGTAGCTGGAACTACAGGCACACGCCACCATACCTAGCTAATTTTTTGATTTATTGTGGAGGCCAGTTCTTGCCAAGTTGCCCAGGCTGGTCTCCAACCCTTAGGCTCAGGCCATCCTCTTGCCTCCGCCTCGCCTCGTCATGAGCTATCAAACCCATCTCTACTTTGAATTTTAGCTAGGCGCAGTAGCTCACACCTGTAATCCTAGCACTTTGGGAGGTCAAGGCAGGAAGACTGCTTGAGCCCCGGAGTTCAAAATCAGCCTGGGCAACATAAAGACCTTGTGTCTAAAAAACAATACAAATTAGCTGGGTGGAGTGGGCATGCCTGTAGTCCCAGCTACTCAGGAGGCTGAGGTGGAAGGATCACCTGAGCTCAGGAGGTGGAGACAGCAGTGAACTTTGATTGTGCCACTGTATCGAAAGAAATGTATCAACATTTCTTTCCTGTTTGTGGCTGAATAATATTCCATCATATGTATATAGTGTGTTTTGTTTATCTGTTTATCTCCCATGGACGTTTGGGTTGTGTCCACCTTTTGGCTGTCATGAATACTGCTATGGAACATTGGTATACAAGTATCTGGTTGAATCTCTGCTTTCAGTTCTTTCTGGTAAATACATTGTAGGCAATTCCTAGATCATATGGTAATTCTGTGTTGAACATTTTGAGGACCCACCAAACTGTTTACCATTGTGGCTGTACCATTTTATATTCACCAGTAATGCATGAGGGTTCTATTTTCTCCACATCCTTCCCAACACTAATTATTTTCTGATTTGTAAATAGAGGTCATCCTAATGGGTAGGATGTGGTATCTCATTGTGGTTTTGATTTGCTTTTCTCTAATGATGCTAATGTGATTAATGGCCATCAGTATGTCTTCTTTGGAGAAATTTCTATTCAAATCCTTTGCCCATTTTTGAATACAGGTTGTTTGGTTTTTGTTTTTGAGTTGTGGATCTTATATATTCTGGTTATTCTGTATCAGATACATGATTTGCAAATATTTTCTCCTATTCCATGGCCTCCCCTTTTACTCTGTTAATAATGTCCATTGGCTGGGCTCAGTGGCTCAGCCTGTAATCCTAGCACTTTGGGAGGCCGAGGCGAGTGAATTGCCTGAGCCCACGGATTCGAGACTCACCGGGGCAACTTGGCGAGACCTCGTCTCTACAATAAATCAAAAATTAGCCAGGCGTGGTCGCGTGCGCCTGTAGTTCCAGCTACTTGGAAGGCTGAGGCGGAAGGATCGCCAGAGTCCAGCAGGTCAAGGCTGTGGTGGCCAGGAGCGTGCCACTGCACTTCAGTCTGGGCAACAGTGTGAGACTCCAACTAAAAAAATAAATAAATAAATAAAATGTCCATTTATGCACAAAGTTTTTGTAGTTCGGTTTATCTATTTTTTCTTTTGTTGTCTGTACTTTTTGTATCATATCCAAGAAATAATTGGCAAATCCACTGTTCTGAATATTTTCCCCTATGTTTTCTAAGAGATTCACAGTTTTAGCTCTTAAGTTTAGGTCTTTGACCCATGTTTGAATTTTGTATATGGTGTAAGGTAATGGTCCCACTTCGTTCTTTTTAAATTTTTTTTAAGAAACAGTGTCTCACTATGTTGCCTAGACTGGATTTTAACTCCTAGGCTCAAGCAGTCCTCTTGCCTCAGCCTCCCAAGCAGCTGGGACTACAGAAGCGTGTCATCACAATTGATCCACCTTTATTCTTTTGCAGGGGGATATCTGCTTTTCCCTGCACCGTTTGTGGAAAAGACGTTTCCCATCGAGTGGTCTTTGCACTTGTTGAAAATTATTTTACCACCGTATATGTGAGAGTTTATTTTCGGGCTCTCTCTTCCATTGATTTATTGTCTGTCCTTACCATTACCACACTCTTTGAATGCTGTAGCTTTGTGCTAATTCTGGAAATGAGGACATGTCAGTCCTCCATTGATACTACCCTGATAGTCTTTGTGTCCTTGCTATCTGATTTGTTTAGTTTCAGGCCCATTTTGTGTATCTTTGGCTCTAGATTTGTGATCAGTTATTTCTCTAAGAAGTTCAGTAAAGTTTTTTGTTTTTTTTGTTTTTTTGGTGGGAAATAGTACTTTAAGAGGAAAATCCAGGCACTAGGGATATCTATTGCTAATATGTTGGTCATTTTTCCTAGGCCTTTTAAGTGGACAGAAATATGAAATAACTACATATATGTTTTAAGGCATAATATATAAAACTATGTGAAGATGATACACTTTGTTAGTTCATACTGGTATTATCAATTCAAATTCAGGACTACTTTGTAACCTCTATGTCTTTTTTTCCCCATGGAGAATCCTACTTCCCAAGGATGAGGGATTATAATTAGGTTATCTCATGATTACTCATCTGTGGTATATACACAGTAGTCTTAATAACAGTACTCATAAGCTTGCCACCAATTGCATTTGCTGAACCCAGTTAAAAATTTTTCCTTTGGCCTATGATCCCCATTCTCTCCCGCCTTTATTATTTATTTATTTATTTATTTTTGAGTTGGAGTCTCACTCTTTCACCCACACTGGAGTGCAGTGGCACGCTCCTGGCCACTGCAGCCTCGACCTGCTGGGCTCCGGCAATCCTTCCACCTCAGCCTTCTAAGTAGCTGGAACTACAGGCGTGCGCTACCATGCCTGGTTGATTTTTGGTTTCATTGTGGAGATGTGGTCTCGGTTGATTTTTGGTTTTATTGTGGAGATGTGGTCTCGCCAAGGTGCCCAGGCGGGTCTCGAACCCACGGGCTCAGGCAGTCCGTTCACCTCGGCCTTCCAAAGCGCTGAGATTACAGGCTGAGCCACCGAGCCTGGCTTCCCCTGCCTTTAAACAAAAGAGTATATTCTGCTTAAAAAGGGCATAGGTATTTCATATGATACTCTCTCATTTTAACCCTCATTTTATCTTAGTTCTGTAAATAATTTATGTCTTAATTGCTCACCACCAGTCGGTTTGTAAAATGTCTCTAGTCAGTTGGCTTCTCTGATGTTGCTTCCTGGTAGATTTCTCAAGAAGGGCTCATAGGAACAGTATTTCATCAGTTTTTGTATATTTATGAATAGTTTCTGTGTGCCCTTTGTACTTGAAAGTCTGGATATAAAACCTTGGTTTATATTTTGTTTCTTTGACTATCTTAAGTATATTCCATTTTTTTCCAGCATAAAGTCCTCCTACAGAAAGTGTGATGTTACTTTCATTTTCTTTCCCTCAAAAGTCTCTTGCTCTTTTTGTTTAGAGGCCCAAATGATTTTTTTTGAGTCCTAATTTATTAGAATATACCTTAGTGGTGCTTGTTCTGGGTCAATATTCTTAGGTATATAAAATGTTCTTTTAATTTAGAGTTTCAAATCATGCTTTATTTTAGGAACTTCTGACATCATAGTCTGTTCTCCCTCTTTTTTTTTCTTTTTGAGTTGGGAGCCCTCACTCTGTCATCCAGGCTGGAGTGCAGCGGCACAACCAGGGCTCACTGCCGCATCGACCTCCGAGACTCAGGCAAGCCTTCCACCCCAGCCTCCTGAGTAGCTGGGACTGCAGGCATGTGCCACCATACCTGCTTAATTTTTTCTTTTTGTTTTTGGTAGAGATGAGGTAACAGTGTGTTGCCCAGGCTGTTCTCAAACTCCTTGGTCAGGCAGTCTGCTCGCCTTAGCCTCCCAAAGTGCTGGGATTATAGGCATGAACCATGGCACCCGGTCCCCTTTTCTTGTTTATCTTCTCCAGTGATTCATATCATCTGAATATTGAATTTTTTTATTTTTTGCCTATCTTCATTATTTGTCATTTCCTCTTGAATATTTTTTCTTCATTTCTTTTTGATGTGTAGATCTTTTTCTTTTCATCTTTTATTTCTCCTTAGTCATTACTTGTTATATTTATTTTCATGCTTCTTCTAGTTTAGTCTTTAATGTAAAATGATTTTTTTCCTCGAGTTCTGTCACTTCATTTCTGAATCTTACTCATTCTCATTTGTTATTTTTTTTATGTCTGAAATTGTCTTCTTAATGCATTTTAACTTGTTTGAAATTGTAGGTTACATTTTTTATCTGTCTTCTGGCTATGTATTTTTGACATGGTTTTGTTATTCAATATGGTAGGCACTAGCCATGTGTGACTTTTAAAATATAAATCAATAAAAATTAAATGAAATAAAAAATTTACCTCTCCAATTGTACTAGCCACATTTCAAATACTCAAATACTTGTACTTAGAGATAGCATAGTTATACTGTGGCATTTGAAATTGATACTTGTGTCTTAGTTTTCTATAAGGTGAATCATGTATTCCCTGGATGTCTTTTTATATCTTCTGAGATAGAATTTTAGCATTCTGTTTGGGGGATAATACTAGCATCTATCTCCTGGGGCCATATGGGAGGACCTATGTAAAATAATAGAAGGAACGCACGGTTGGTATGGAAGGCTTACTTTTCTGGGACAGAGTAGATTTTTGATTGAATTTTGGGTTTGCTTTTTTTTTGAATTGGAGTTTTACTCCGTTGCCCAGGCTGGAGTGCAGCGGCACACTCATGGCCACCCCAGCGTTGACCTAATGGACTCCAGCGATCTTTTCACCTCAGCCTTCCAAGTAGCTGGAACACAGGCGTGCACTACCATGCCTGGCTAATTTTTTATTTGTTGTAGAGACGAGGTCTCACCAAGTTGTCTCGAACCTGCAGGCTTAGGCAATTTGCTTGCCTCAGCCTCCCAATGTGCTGAGATTATAAGCTAAGCCTGGCCTGTGTTTGCTTTTATTGATGTGGTTTTATTATATAATTTAATCACCTATTTAGAATATGCACGTCTGTATCTCATCTTTGGTTAGACATTTTAAAAAATATGTATTATGTCTTGTGTGACAGATAGCAGCTGATGAACCTCCACCAGCTGGATGTAATTCATTTTTTTCAGTGCACGGAAAGACGACTTGTGATTTTGATACCCTTGAGACTCTTCTACTAACAGCACCTGAAAGGTAGATCATGTGTTTATTTTAATGTAGTTCATTTCCTTGTGCTTCTTCTGTATTAAGTCTTTTCTGTTGTTTGCAGGTGTAAGAGTATGGATTCTAGAATCAGACTGACTAAATCTGAATCTCAGCTCCATCACTTAAAATCATTTTATGAAATGGGACAGATAATTTTCTTTCTCATCTTATTTCAAAAGGGAGATTATAGAGTATTTCATCTTACTATTTAGTAATGACTGTATCTGAGAGCTTTGTTATTAGTTTAAAAAGGAAAAAACTATGTATTAAAGCTAGTGCCTGAAGCAATGATATTAATGATAATGATCTCAGGATATTATTAGTTTCAGACAAAGAAGAGTATTTTAAAGATAATTGCAGGCTTGATTTCATATTAAATTGGTAATTAATGCATCAGTTTTTTTGCCTAAAGGTAGGTTTCCTGTGATGGACAACTCTGCAACCTCTCTGTTTTGCTGTCTGGCTAGGGCAGCAAGCTCTTGTACTTCCTTTAATGCTGTTATAAATAAAGACAGTGGAACCCCTTCGGGTCCCCTCCCACTGTGGGAGCTTTTGTGTCTTCTCAATAAATCCTGCTTTCTCAAAATTAAAAGTAAATAGATAAATAAAGACAGTGATTTTCATGGTGTTGGCCTATTCTATCCCTAATAATAATGGCAGATTAGGGAGAGTAGGTCTTCTTCAGTTAGATTGTATGTCTAGCACCTGTCCTCTGCCCACCAAATGGCACTAGTGCTTTTTTCTCAGAGTGACAACCAAAAGCGCAGTGTGTGTTTCAGCCATCTCACGGTCACAGTATGGACATTTGAAAATGGCTATATGGCCGTGCCCTGTAGCTCTTGCCTGTAATCCCAGCACTTTGGGAAGAGGTGCCAAGACCAGCATCTTGGCAAGACCTCGTCTCTACAACAAATCAATAAATTAGCTGGGTGTGGTGGTGCGTGCCTGTAGTTCCAGCTACTTGGAAGGCTGAGTCCAGCAGGTCGAGGCTGTGGTGGCTACTGCACTCCAGCCTGGGCAACAGTGAGACTCCTACCCAAAACAAAAACAAAAACAAAACAAAACAAAAATGGCTCTTGTAATAAAGTGGTTCTTTCTTAGGGGAAACAAAATCGATGGCGGCATGTTGTTTTTTAAAAAACTGTTCAACTTGCTACAATACTAGTGTGTCCTCTTTTGTAACTACTTTCAATGGTTTGGCAAATATGTTTTTAGACAATTTTTTCTGTTGTTTTAAATTGATGTACGTAGGTAGGTTTATTTTTACAAGAGGCATCTTTCCATTTAGTATGAGTAGGTGTACCTCATTATATTTTTAACACTTGTGTCATAACCTATGTAAGACTCCTGCAATTTATTTCTTGTTGATGATTAAGTCATTTAAATTTTTTTACTATTACAGTAAGACTGTACTGAGCATCCTGATTCATATGTTTTAACCTGTTGAATTATATATAATTTATTATAATAGGGATTGGTAGGTCATAAAGTCTACACAGTAAGAACTATTAATATCTTGATGCTGTCCTTAGAGAAGCTTTTTTTGGGGAGAAGTTTTAAAGTTTGTGAGGAAAACAAATGATACATCCATTAGTAGGAAGATAATGGCAGTAAAAATGGTAGAACTGGGAAACTTAACTGTAATTGGCAAGTAACACGTTTGATGTCATCCTCTGTTTTTTGTGTTATTTGTACTTATGTTTTCAGATAAAAGGGTAATCATATTCTATCTATATGGTAGAAAATATACTCAAGTTTTATTACTCAGATTTTAATTCATTTGCTAGCTTTTCTTTCCCCTTTTTAGGAATTGATAGCAGTTATTAATCAAATTATACTTTTATAGTTAACTTTTTTTTTTTTTTTTTTGAGTTGGAGTCTCACTCTGTCGCCCAGACTGAAGTGCAGTGGCTGCTCCCGGCCACCACAGCCTTGACTTGCTGGGCTCCGGCAATCCTTCTGCCTCAGCCTTCCAAGTAGCTGGAACTGTAGGCGCGTGCTACCACGCCTGGCTCATTTTTTATTTATTGTAGAGATGAGGTCTCGCCAAGTTGCCCAGGCGGGTCTCGAACCCGCAGGCTCAGGCAATCCACTCACCTCAGCCTCCCAAAGGAGTGAGATTACAGGCTGAGCCACCAAGTCCGGCTAATAGTTAACATTTTTATAATGTACTCTTATTATTTTTTTTAGCACAGGCCAGTCCTCACTTTTATTATTTTTAATCATGAACAAATCAGACTCCTACCTGACAGTTTATTTTTTTTTTAAAGAAATGACGGTATAAAGCACGTTATTGCAATAATAAAACTTGGAACTCATGTGGTGCCGCAGGAGGGAGGTAGCAACAATTTCTCTCACCAAATCACTATACAAGGTGGCAAAGGGGTGAGAACGAGCTGAGGGAGGAAAAACCAGGAAGCTTTCAGATCAGCAGAGGGAGCCAAGCATCAAAAAATATGAGATGCTGAAGCTTCATAAGAGAACATTCAGGGGTTTGTCAAGTTGGGTATGGTAGCTCACGCCTGCAATCCCAGCACTTTGAGAGGCTCAGACGGGAGGATCGCTTGAGCCCAGGTGTTTGAGACCAGTCTAGGCAACATAGCAAAACCCTGTCTCTACAAAGAAAAATATTTTCTTAAGTTAGATGGGCATGGTGGTGTATGCTTATAGTCTCAGCTACTTGAGAGGCTGAGGCAGAAGGATCACCTGAGCCCAGGATATCAAAGGTGTGGTGAACTGTAATCATTGCCACTGTACTCCAGCCTGGGTGACAGAGTGAGCTCCTGACTCCCCAAAAAAATAAAAAAAAGAATTTGTCAAGATGACTGGACTTTCATTGCGTGTTAAGGTTTACAAATGGCACCTTCGATTTAAACGTTCAATTAAAATTCTTAAAATTTAGGAAGTGGTGGAACTTTGAATGTTATGAGATAAAATTCCTTTAGAAAAACCACAGGATAAAAAAATATATCAGCCAGGCCATTAAAAAGGCTTCTGAGGTCCTTGCTGGTCAGGGACAGATGCCTGTAGTGTCTGACATTACAGTGAAAATGATCTGCTTTCAAAAGGCAGGGAGTTGAGCCGGGCTTGGTGGCTCAGCCTGTAATCCTGCGCTTTGGGAGGCTGAGGTGAGTGAATTGCCTGAGCCCGCGGGTTCGAGACCCGCCTGGGCAACTTGGCAGGACCTCATTTCTACAATAAATAAAAAATGAGCTGGGCGTGGTAGCACGCGCCTGTAGTTCCAGCTACTCAGAAGGCTGAGGTGGAAGGATCGCTGGAGCCCAGCAGGTCGAGGCTGCGGTGGCTGGGCGCGGCCACTGCACTCCAGTCTGGATGACAGAGTGAGACTCCAACTCAAAAAACAAAAAAAAAAAGGGCAGGGAGTTTCAGAAGACCGTGGGGTGGGGCTGATGGAGGCGAAGATTCTTGCCCTCCCCACTTCAGTTTTGGGTAGGGCTTTTCATTAACCAGGCACATCTTTCAACTTAGAGACTCATTCAGCCCTCAGTAGCGCCTCACGTCTGCTATGGCTTTGCAGTACAGCTGCAAGAATGTTTACTGTGTAATAGATACATATTTCATCCCCCTCACATAATAAAGATCTTGCAGCCCCCTCCCCAATACCAATTCTTATTCTGAAGATAACCCATCACTTGTGCTGCTAATACTTGACTGTTTGCGTAATTGGAAAACTAGATCCGAAGGCCTGAAACTGAACCTTCAAAATAAAATGAGTAGCGAGGGTTATGGCAAATAGTTTAGGTAAACACACATATGAGGAGAAAGGGGAAAAGGAAATGAAGTTGTGGGAAGCAAAGTGGAGTGACAGACCACATTCAGTCGGGGCAGATGTCTATATTGAGTGCAAGGGAACACTAGGAACAGCTCTTGTGGATTCTGTGCACATGTCTGGAGCCGCCAGCTCCCTCCATGGCAGGTCCAAGAACGGAGCTACAGGAGGAGGCCGTTCCAGTTTTAGAAGCTCCATGTGAAGATGAGAATGGCATGTGGTGGGATAGTGCCAGGTTGCCCAGTGGCACAGTAGGCATAGTTTGCAGACATAGTCAATTTGACTCTCTGACTCATCTTTCCCAGGGTGACATTCCCAGTCACAGAGCACCTCCTGCTTGCCTAGGATAAACTTAAAGCACTTGTTTCTGTCCCAGCAGGAGTCAGATTTCTTTTCGTCTTCAAGCGTCCCTGTGTCATATACGATGCAGGGCTGGCCTAGCTTCTGGAAGGTGCTCCTGACTCCACCTGTACTACCGTGGCACCAGGGCAGGTGGGCAGGGGCACAGCCTGTGGCGTGGACACGTGGGCCTGGCAGCAGTTCCATGGCTCTACCTTGTCCCTCTGCACATCCCCTGCGCTCATGTGTGTGACAGGAGTGGTCTTATTATTTAAGACTGTGCTACCCTTTATATTAAGATGCTTCTAATCCTCATTTAAATTATCATTGCCTTGTTTGTATTTTGAACTGTTTTTAGTGTTTAAACTTCTTTTTAAATTTAAGGTTTTAAACTTTTAATATTTATTTTCAGACCAAAACCTTTACTGTTCAAAGGAGATCACAGATATCCCTCATCTAATCCTGAAAGCCCAGTGGTGATTTTCTACTCTGAGATTGGCTATGAGGAATTTTCTAATTTTCACCACCACCTTGTCTCAAAAAGTAATGCAGGCAAAATCAATTATGTGTTCAGGCATTACCTATCTGTAAGTATTGACTTAGTTCATGACTTTTTAAAATATTACTTTACTCAGCATGGCCTTAGGACATAAGTTAATAATTTTCCTCCTTATGAAATAATTTAGTTTTTTGAACTACTTTTTTGAGAAATTCAGTACTTTGATCATATCTATTATTTGCATGTAAGAGGTGCTTGGCTTGCCTTTCCAAGGAAATGGTAAAACAATTATGCTTAAAAAATGGCTTGATAAAGTTTACATTTTATTTCAAAATAAACCATGTAAATAATATTTACTGATTTTTTTCTGTGTATCTATCTGTTTTTACAGAGATAGGGTCTTGCTGTGTTGCCCAGTCTGGCCTCAAGCAATCCTCCTGCTTCAGCCTCCCAGAGTGCTGGGATTACAGGCATAATCTGCCTCACCCATTCTGGAACTGATTCTTGAGTTCAGTTCCTTTTCCAATATATTTTTTTCTGTGTGACACTTTCATTTGGTGGAAATGGAGGGGTTTATAAAGAGGTGAAATCAGGCAGAATTGATTTAAAATTAAGCTTTTAAGACCTTGAGTAACATTCAGCATTTAAAATATTTACTTGTAAAGATTGCTACCCTTTAAAGTTTCTGTGTCATAATAAGCTCTGTAAATATTGAGTGCTGAGGCTACACAAGTAAAAGAACAATTTTAATTGAAAATTAATTCAAGTAGAAACAGATTTATTAAAGTTCAATTTTTGACCGGACTCCCAGGCCCTGTTACTGAATTTAACAATTTAAATGTCTAAAGGGCCATCATTGTTCAGAATAGTGGTGACCTTATGACATTTGTCAGGCAAGCTTTGCCTGAAGGTATTTAAATTCAATAGAAACATACACTGATGGTCCCAACAAAGCACTTCTGAGATTGAGACCTTGCTTGTTTTCAACTCTGTTCTGTGGGTCTGGAACTTCTTTGGCTCTTTCTCCATTTCTTCCCATGGTTAGGAACCTTTGTCCTTTCAGATGTTCATTCATCTGGTTTTCCATCTACTTTGAAATTCCCATTCCCACAATTATGGCAGGATACAAAATATAAAGGAGGCTAGAATTTTTTTCTTTTTTTTGAGTTGGAGTCTCACTCTCTTGCCCAGACTGGAGTGCAGTGGCCGCTCCCGG